CCCCCCCCCCCGTGCCTTCGGATTTATCCTCTCTGGTGAATAGTGGTACTTTTCTCCGGTTTCTCGTTTTTATCCACCGATACGCATCATTCCTCGTTGAGATTGTTGTTCTTTTGCGCGTTGGGGGGAGGCTCAGTTGTCGTCGTTGGCATGTGATTCTGCTCCACTGATTTCGCGAGTAACCACCGATGGGCTTTGACACTTCGCATCCCTGTCTGCAGTTGATTGCCGTGAAAATGTGTTCCCATGCTGTGCACATTTCTGGTCTAAATATAGCTTCCAACAAGGATAACAAGGATAATAAACTCAATAATTAGTATGTGTTTGTGTGTGTGTGTTTCAAAACCGTAGGCGAACAGCACTGAGACACTGAAATGTGGATAACTTCCACCGAGGCCTTTATAAACGCACCCGATTTAGTAATCTCTGTTGTTGTGTTACCGTGAGAAGCGCGTGAAATGAGTAGATAGTGAAAATTTTCAACCCAGTCCGACCTGGTTCGGTCGATTTGATAGACCAAGTACGAACTGGCAGGCGGTTGCAACACCATATGTTAAGCGCGACCTGTTTGTGATTGGTGAATTGGATAATCACAGTTCATTGTTGATGGCCACCTTTCCTATGCTAGTTTTGTAAATAAATCTGGCGCTATACTTAGTTCACTACGGTTGCGTAGATAATACTGAGTTCAGGTCGCTTCATTGTGTTTCGCTGTACGATGATGATTTTTTTATTACACACTTTCGTGTGATGAACAGCAGACGGGGAAAGCCCCATAGCCACGAGGACATGCTGTTCAGTGATGGAAACCGGTAACCTAATCCCGGAGACTTGGAGTGGCGAACCACATAAGACCCCGATAGGTTAGGTGTGATATTGGACCGGATGATAGCAAAGCTGCCTACCACCAAAGTCGGGTGGCGGTGGCGGGGCTCGAACCTCGGACTAAAGAGTCTAAAGCACACTGTTGACAGCGAATAAACCACTACGCCACCGATGATGATGTTTCGTCCCAGTTTACTAGCGCAATATAGGTACAACCGGATTTTCTTTTGTGTCCCTCTCGTTACTCCACTTTATATTGAATATACGTTCGAAAGTTAATATTTGCCAGGGGAATAATGATGATTAAAAAGTAAACTTCTTCCAGGCTTGGGGTTAATTACACGAACCCCGAAGGGTATTTAATTGAGCGTCGCATAGTCAAGCAGAGCTGTTCACGATGAAATGAAGTGACTAACTCACCATGCTCACGAGCCCTTTGATGTACTACCCGAGTTCGACCAAACCGAACCCCGTTTCTTAGATTCTACAACTTCCCATTCTATCATTGATTGTCGATAGTTTGCGAGCAATCTGAATGAGAGTGGATTATTCATTTGTGGTAATTTAAATGTACTAGTGTTGGCTATAGCTTTCCCTTATCAACACATTCTGATCTAAATGAAGAATTATCTGATTATGGTAGAATCAGTCTTCCCCCACCCCCTCGATCGATCGGTGTGTCCACTCTCGACTTACCGGAACACATGTGATCTGAACTCATTGCCATTTCGTGTCACGTGTTCGATCGGTGGACTAACTTGAAGTTGAAATGGTACAAACTGCGTGGAGTAGAATGTGCCACTGATTTGGACGATCCGGGTTATTGGAGTAGTAGTAGTAGTAGTTGTTGTTGTGTTGATCATTTTTCTCTAACATTTCTCCCCATTAACACGAAAGTAATGTACCCTGATTGAATACACCCCGGTTCAAGTAATACGATAGGCCGACCAGCTCTAAATATACAGGCACCCTTTGGTCTCAACTTGGCGCTTTCTCTATGTCCACGGTTGAGGTTATACTTCGATAGTTCCTAACCTGCTGTTCATAGAATGCTATAATCAATCAGTGACCCGTTATACTTGAAACTTCCCGATTTTGGCTGAGATGGGTTTCCCCCTGTTGATGACGCTAGACAGGTTCACTGTCGTTCAGCTCACTTAATTACTTTTAGAATATCAAAAGTAGATTACATTCTGTCGGAACTCCCTGTACACGTCTCATATTTCCCAGTGAAATTAAACAGAACACGAACCTCCTGATTATTTTAACTCTTTTACCCGGAACCAGTGTTGAATTCATCCATTTCGGTCCACTACCCCCTCCCCCGCCCCGTTCTATTCCCGGTAAAGTAAAATTTTGTTTTTATACATTGGAAATTCCGATAAGTGAATTGTTATTGTCTATAGTATAGTGGTGCTCATTCAAAATCGCGATGCATTTCGGTCCCCAGAGTTGTGTCTCAACATGAATAATTTACGTGACCGAATGGACAATACTAATGCTTGTTTCTTGTGTTCCATCTCTCTCTCTCTCTCCCTATTCACGTGACACCATAACAAAAATATGCACTCGTTATGCCGCCCCGACTGACTACTACTCACCACCATCAGCGAAACCGACTCACAGAGAAAGCGGACCAATTGGACGAGCATGAGGGCACACTGATTCGAGATTGTGCACGTCAGCTGACCACCGCGAAACGAGACATCAGTACATTGTTGGATGCACTGGCCAAAAAATCGGATGCGTTTGTGAACCAGCAATCGGAGGTGACTCGACTGTTAACTCGTGGATTGGATTTGGAGAACCGTGTCAAACAGGTGTGTGTGTATCTGTCTGTCTGTCTGTCCACTTGTGTCTTTTCTCATTGAGTGGGTATTTATACAATCTTCTTTTCTTATGAGACGAGTTAACCAAAAGGGTTAAGGGTAGTGATGGGACTCGAACACAGCTTCCCAACCAGTCTGACGGTGACGTAACCTGCTTGATAGCTGTATACTTTAAGCCATTCTTCCAACTCCGTTTGTTAGGCTCTGCTGCTGTTCTCGTCCTTCGGCAAATAATATTTCAAAAATAATGGGATTGTGCGTTTGACTGATACTTTTTTGGTTCCAAGTGTCAACACGATTGGCTTATTGATTGTCATTTTGTCACACATACACACACACACACACACACGCTCAAACACACATGTCCAATAGAATGAAAACTTTCATCTTTAGGATAGAACAACGGTTTATTTGACTCCAGTGCTCAGCCAATCGTCACCGTGTCAAGTAAGAGTGTCTCCTTGTGGAACAATGCAAATCGATGACAATTCGAATGGAAATGAATCAATCTCATCAATCAGCAATCAGTCATGATTGATACTTGGATCAATCGGTTCGATATCAACATGTGTTATGTTTTGTCGTGTGGTGGTGGTGGTGATGATGATATTTCACTTGTATCCATTATATTTGTCTGCTACAGCAATACCACTTGGTCTGGTTTCTCGAATGATGTTTCGAACAAAGGCCGGGGGTCGAGGGGGGGGGGGATTTTCACAGGATGCTAGAATACAGATACAAAGTCAGACCGGCTTTCCAGATTGCTTTACTCCTCCTCTACAGTCAACAAGCACATAGTCTGCCTGCCACCCTATGGGAAGCAGATCTAATTGACACGGAGATTTCGTCATTTGTGCGTAGGTGTGAATGGCTGTTCGGTTGTGTACGCACGCACCGCCCACGTCATCCCAGCAACCTGTCTGGTCGGATCACCGTTCAACTGACTGCCTGGGGGGAGGGATTTCCCGATCAAATAAATCATCTATGTTCACTCTCGAAATTCGTTCGCATGTATCATATCAAAAAATTATTTTTGGGATGCCTACACTCAGTACAAACGTCTGTTTCACAAATAGACCCATACCTCCATTATGTTCAATCAATCGGTTATCCAGGCCATATCGATCCGATAGCCAATGCCATACTCCCATCGACCGCATCACGTAGACCAATCAATCGGTTTCCATCCGCTTCTCTTTTTTTTCTATCTGAGTCTCGCGTTGTCTATTTTTGTACTCGCGGTCCATGTTCCCATTCGTCCCGCGTCCATCAAGCGAGAATGTCTTCGGTTTGGACCTATCGATCCCATGACAGAGATGCATTGGACGCAGAACCAGTCCGAATCTGTGTGCACACGTGACCGTGTGTGCGCGCGCGCTCGAATGCGTCGGTTGAATCGCGTGCCAAATCACATTGGCCAAATTTGTTCCACTATTCACGTGTTGTCAGCGTGGCCGTATCAAACACGATCGTTTTCGCGTTCTGCCAACAAACCTGATACTGTTTTACACTCGACGGGGTCCCATAATGCCGCCTCTCCTTGTCTGGCACACACACACACACACACAGGCCTGGAACCGCACTTTTATCTGTATCCCTTGCCTCTGGGCTCTACCTTTTTTATCTGTTCGGTCTGGTTCGGGACAATTTATTTCGAACACTTGAAATGAATTAACTCATGTCAATCGTTGCGCTGCGTGGAGTTGTTTCTTTCTACCCACGGAGGAAATCAACAATAGTAAAATATCTTGACGTCACACTATCACACAATTTATCACGGCCACTGCACGTTCAGAACACATTATGTAAAGTCAGAAAGGTTTCCTATTTCTCACTCCGATTGAGATCGCCTTCCGTTCACCACAAACTGATTGTTAGGTTTGCGTGCTCCCTCAGTGATTTCCTCTCGTATGTGGAAAAAGGACTGTTATTTATTGGCGAGATCTCTAGAACATGCAGAACTGCATCATAGACACACATCTACAGAATTAGGTAATTACACGAGAGTAATGGAGTATTTGATTCAATAACGTAATTGCTTCCTTGATTGACAAAGACGATATCCAACTACCGTCAGTTTCATTTTGCCGGATTTTGTAAATTTGCATTCACAAATATGTTTGTGTAAAATACTGAAAGTTCATCCCTCCGCGGATGCATAAAGTTACTGCTGATTTGGCTTGACCTGAGACATTCACTGTCATCATCGATCATCATTCATCTCAATTCTCCTTTTTTCAGTTGGCCGCAGAAAATGAGATGCTTGTCAATCGATTACAAGAGTCCCAATCCGCACAGCAACGACTGACCACCGAATTAGGTCAAATGCGTGACAAATACGATGAGTGTCTGTCCCTGTTCAACGAGGCCCGAGTAAGTGGTTCTCACGTCCCCGTCTCGGGGCGAAGTGAATCCCGGTACTGTACCGCGTACTGTTTCAAACAAACTGTTAGTATACAAAACGCTTGTGGTCTGCCTCCGGAAAGTATTCCGGGCTTAGGGCACTTTTACGCCCGAGTTCACCACGGAAAGTGGTGTTCGTCAGGATTACCCTCTTTCTCCTTTTCTATTTAACTTTGTTATAGATTTGATTATGGAAACAGCCCCATCCTTGTGCGAGAATAGTGGTATCGATTTACTTCCAGGTGGCAGACTGATCTAGAGCATGCAGATGACATTGTGCTACTAAGCGAAGATCCAGGTAAGTTGCAAGCTTTTCGGGATAGCTTGAGCGCCAGTGTAACCAAAGTGTAAAATGCTACTACAAGACCGGGTTGGTCCAGCACCCACACTCACTCTAACTGAGTGAGTAATAGAGGAAGTGGATAAGTTTTGTTATTTGGGCAGCTACATTTCACCCGGTGGACGCATCACGGATGAAGTGTCAATTCGCATACAGAAGGCTCGATTGGTATTTGCCAACTTGAGATATCTGTGGCGCCGTCGCGATATCCGGCTGTGGGTGAAGGGTCGAGCGTATTCTGCGGCGGTTCGGCCAGTCCTGCTATGCGGGGCAGAAACTTGGCCTTTACGGAATCAGGACAAAGACAAATTGTCGGTGTTTGAACACCGCTGTCTACGCAGCATTACACGAATTTGGTGGGGCAGCCGGACGAGCAATGCTGAGCTTAGGCAACCGCGGTCGCCCATTGAAGCAGGTGGTCGACCTCCATAGAATACGTTGGTTGGGGCATTTGTTACGTGTGTCACCAAATAGGTTGGCACGGCGAGCGATGTTCGCCGAGGCAGGTAGTGGATGGTGAAGCTAAGACCTGGCATGAGGATATGAAAACCCTGACCAGGAGTCTCGATCACATGGGTCCGGTTATGCTCCCTGGCTGGAGACTTCGGGATGATCGTAACCGATGGTTAGACACACTGAGTGATATGGTTGAGTGTCGTAAACAGTAGTGTTCGGCATCTTCTCAATTTCTCTGTTTCATTAGTCCACTGAACTTTTTAATTTTCTCTTCGATCCCACTCTCAGTCTTCCTATCTTTCTCCTACTACCTCATCTAAATGGGCAGCCAAAAGACAGCAACCAAAGCGACGCACGGAAGTGCGTGCTTATTGGTTGTTTAAACTGAAACTAAAAACTGAATTCCAAAATTCCTAGGTTTCAGTGAGCCGAATATCAAATTGAGCTTCGTTGTTTTGTGCTTTCATAGCGTCATGTGTGCGGATTTTTTGGATGGTTTAACCATGTTCCATCTACGTTTTGGACCTTCAGAGTGTAAAATGTTACTACATGACTGGTGGGGTAGGGGGGAGGAGGGAGGTTATCAGTACAGCACTGGAACCTCACTCTAAATGAACAATGTTTTAGAGAAAGTGTGTCTTTGAGCAGCTAGTCATATCTCACACCTGGAGCATGAAGTGTCCGCACGCACGCAGAAGTTTCCGTTGGTATTTGGCCACTTGATACATCTGTGGCACCTTTGCGAATTCCGGCTCTGTGATGGACTGAGTGCTGCAGTAGTCCCACCAATACTGCAATGTTGCTCAGGGACCAAACTGTTACGGTAACAAAATAATGGCAGAAAAACCGTGTCTGAACACTGCACCGTCTACTGTTGGAGCAATGGGGCAAGCAATGCTGAGACTCGGTTCAGAGTTTCAGACAGTCGTCGTCGCCCATTGGACCACGTGCTGTCTCTCTCTCTCTCTCTCTATATATATATATATATATACCCATGGGTTTGGTTGACTGGCGCTTGTGTCGCGTGACATGTCACTTGATAGATTTTTTCTTCCTACTGAGAAAGAAAATGGATGGTAAAACGCGAAAGGTGATGGTAGTGATGGTCAATCTAAGACCTTGCATGAAGTTTCAACAATCTTGACTAAGCTTCCTATGATACAGATTACGTCAGGCCTCCTGTTTGGGAGGTGGGGTCCCCGGGGATCAGTATAATCGGTGCTTAGAGACACTGAGGGATATGGCCGAGTGTCCTTAATCCGTACTGCTTATGCATCTACGCAACATCTTCACAAGTGCCCACTGTTTCTTCTTCCTCGTCACACTCTCAGCTGTCTACTTGTTCCATCTGCTCCGACACCGAAATGCGCTGCCCGAAGACAACAACAACGCGAAAGTACGACGTGGATGATTGTAGGAAAATTGAAACAAAAATACCCACAAAACTCTTCGTCTTTTGTTTTGATCAATCGTGGCCTGCTCATGTGCTCGTTTGTTGTCACCTGCTCCCGTTCCTCGCAACCGAATAAGTGCTGATGAATTGGATGATTGAACTCTCTATCCAAGGACTAACTAATATACCGGGGTACCTCGAGGAGATCCGATGTGTCAGAAGATATGGGTGTGTCACCCCTCACGCAGAGCTGTTACGTGATTGGAAATTTTCACTGTTTGTGCACGCGCGCACGCGCCTATACAATAAGCGTAACAGTGTGGTTCATCTTTGTGAATGAAAATAATGCTTAGTGTTGTTGTTGTAGAAGCAAATATTTTTTTTAAATTTGCACTTTGGATCACCACGGAAAAAATGCTATTCAGTCAGAGATTTTTGATTGGATTGAAAAGGAAATATACCAAGCCCCTTTTCATTACTCTACTCGGTCCGCGGGGGGGGGGGGGGGGGNATAAGTGCCTGGTTATCGTTGAAGATGATATCCTGTTCAACTTGGATGTTTGTCGAGGAAGTCAAGTCACGTGTCAATTGCTTAAATAGCTTGGTGGATGTGTGTCATTAAACTGGCTCTGATCAAGGCGTGGCTTAACTTGACTGACTGGACTATAGATGAAGGGGAGTTCGGAGGATCATCGATCGAACTCAAGCAATTTCCACGAATGAGTTGTCTTCTTGTGGATAAACATCTGACTCGTATGGTGTCCCAAGTGATCCCCGGCTGTTCATGATACAATAACTTGACGTTACACTGCCTTGAAAGATACTCACATGTCTCCGGCGTTATACCAGATCGATCAAGTTTTTGTCTGTGAGAGAAAGGGAAACCCTGGTGAACATTATTCTGTATGAATTCGGTTGTTCCATGCCCAGACACGACGAATAAGTATGGATGCTCCGTTCTGTAGCTGTTCATCCGTACAGAACCATCGAGGCGTACAGCGCACAGTCGGCTACCGATTGGAATCCAGTCAAAAAGCAAGCGCTCGCTCAGCCTTGACACTTGGCGCAGTCTCAACACCGCGAGCCTCGGATATTGAATCGCCTAACACACCGAGGGTGAAGCATGAGGATGAGGTTAGTTCAGGAGAACGGAGGGAGATGACTGAAACAGGGTCTTGTATGCGTCTTTCGGAGATTCTAGCTAAGCCAGCTTGTTGACCGATCCAATAGAGTCTGTGGACATTGAGTGCGGTCAAGTGAAACGGAGATTGTGGTTTTATCCACACAATCGCTTTTGGTTGGATGACCTTATCGGTCAAACACTGAGTGTCGTAAACAGTGGCGCTCGTGTATTTACTAATTCTACTCGTGACCTTGGCCTCCATGAATTCTCTCCCTCTCTTTTCGCACTCTGACATTGATTTGAACATTCCCTCACCATTTCATCCAAATACAAAGCCATGAGGCGGCAACAAAAAACCGGCGCACGAGCGTGCATGGTTGTAAAAACTATGTGTGTGTGTGTGTGTGTGTGTGTGTGTAAGATGAGCTAGATGACAGTGTGGGAAAGATGTCGACGGAGCATTCGTGACAAGCTAGGCATGGCTTCGGTTGGGAATAAGCAGTGATCCCGCAGTGTTTGGACATTTGGTTCGCTTACACTGATTACGTTGAGAAAAAATAACTGAAATAACTGATCGCATTGTCTCGCGAACCCAGTACATACGTATTGGTAAACGGGAATCTTGATTCCGGGCGGTCTTTTTTCGGTCAGTCATAAAAATCACGAAATATGCCCGTTGATTAAGAACTCACAATGTAGGCTATACGAGGTTGCGTTTTTGACGGAGCGGGACGAAGTAATGTGTACTGCCCATTCCGTGTTGTTTTTCGATATATATCTCTTTGGATAGAGCCATCAGGGCGTCTAGTCAGATGAAAATCCAAAAAACGGAAAGCAATCATCTTCTCTGGTTTAGTTGTGAACTTAATTGACGTGTTGAATTCTGACTCGACGCGGGTAAGATTAGTGCTCTTGTTAGCCACGCAAAAGATATCATCTACATAACGGTGATATTGTTCAAAAGAACTAATAGCCGTAGATAAGAAAATTGTCTTTAATTTGACCATGAAGATGTCCGTGAGAACAGATCCGAGGGTTGAACCCATAGCAACACAATCGACTTGGCGGCAGAATGTGGTAATAAACAAAAATTGTACATTTAGTGTGCATTTGGGTATGAGTTCTTTGGGAGTTGTGACTGGGATACCCATGAATATCGCGTCTCTGTGGTAATAATATCACAAATGAAATCAACCGTTTCTAACAGGGGAACATTTGTAAACAGAGAAACATTATCCCAAAGAGAACTTTCGTCGATTGTGAATGTTCACAATTTTGGTCATTTCAACAAATTGAAAAGTTTCTCCGTATTATGCTTGGCGACACGTTGACGTATGGGTTCCCAAAGTCTAGCTAGCTAACGGGCAGTTGCGTGCTGAGATTGATTTGCCATAGAGAGGTAATGGGACGTAATAATATACCAGGTTTGTGTATTTGGGGTAGACCATATATATGCGGCGCTCGTTAGAGCCAACGGATTTGAGATCTTCGAACAGACAGGGTGATATGTGAAGTCTTGATCTTTGTGTCGTTTCAATGTATCGGTGATTTGCTTTTCAGCTTTCAACGTTTGATCTCTGTTGGATTACATCATTTTATGTTTGTTTGTGTTCTCTATCATACACATGCCTCAGTCGGATAGTGAAGTCAAATTTGTGAAAGTGCAGCCGGAAATCGTGCATTCTCTGTGCCTAAACTCACCCTCTTTTCTGTTTGTGTAGTCAAATTAGGGCGAGGTAAAATGCAGTAGCTAGTTTGTTGATCTTTGATCCGTGCCACGTAGTCATCTGTATGAACGGATCATTGATCAAACGAGTCTCAGCGCCTCCCCCCTTCAAAACTGCACTTATGCACATACGCGTTTCGCCCCTTCCCCCATCGCTTTGGCCTGTGGTTTCATGCCGAAAGTGGCATACTGGTTGGGCAATGTTTGATCACACCTGCGCTAGTGCACCCCATATCATGATACATGGGTCGTTCATTGGTGGCGCGTCACATGCTTTCCGTTGGCTCGGCCATTCTCCTCCTGCTAACCATATCCGCTCTCCAA